GTTGTTGTGACTACCAACGTGTTAACAAAGGGGAAAACAAAACCACCTTTCAGTTTATTAAACAAAACAAAACTTTTGTAGACAAAATAAAAGAAAAAACAAAAATAATGTAGTCTTTTCTGTTTAAGTAGTTTGCTTATTATGCATAAAATAATGTTCATTACTCTTCTCCAGAATCAGAAATAATAAACATTTGCTTTATCTTCAATATTATGCACCTCTAGAGTAGGTCCGCAAAATTTCATTTACCAGACTTAACTTTACTTTTGATTCTAGAGCTTCGTGAAGATTTACAGAAAAGTCCAAAATTTAAATACCTCTAATCATTCTCGAGCAATAAAAAAAAAGGTGCAAGTGTTCGTTTTATTAGTGGTGTAAAGTTCAATGTGCATACTTAAGCAAAATTTTGTCAAAAATGTAAATCCGCTTTGAAATGGCTTTCAAAATAACCTGTATTTTGCCATTATTCACTGCCGAGGGAAGCAACTCTTAAAAAAAGTAATCACGCAGATTTTACGATATATTTATACCAATCTTAGCGCTAGCGGCATGAAGCAGTGAATTCAATAGGCGTCTACTTAACTGAAGCATTTATCTACGTTTTTGTTGTAAATGAGACAGAATATCAATTAATTAAAAATAAATGATATCAGCTTCATCTTCATCCGATCACTCTCATTCACATAGATTAACCGCACAGTTCAGATGAGAACGCGTGTGTTATCCAGGGTCACTGCTGCTTCCGGCTCTTTCTGACACGTTATCCTCCTTAAAGGTGCCACATTTTCCAATCTCATGTAATATGCTTGATTATATGTGTAATATTATAAATATCCTGATCTGCATATGACTTGAACCCTAGTGGCTCAGCGATAAATCTGAAGGCTTGTAACTTGAAAACTGGGTTTCAATACGTGTACACTAAATATCAGGCCACGCCTTGTCTAATGCATCCAGGGGTATTAGTAAGTATACATTGAAAAAGAGTTTATTTGTCCAACACCCCAATTAAATCTTGGATGGGTAATTCTGGGTATTTTACCTTTTACAAAATTTTGAATCAAAGTTATATATAACGTAAGTCTGGAGGCTTATAACGCTACAAACCAGGTTTCAATTCCCGTGGTTGGTACAGCACAGACAGCTCATTGAGTAGCTTTGTGCTTACCAACAAAGCATATTATTCCCTGTATATGTTAGCACCCTGTAATTAAACAATAATGTGTGAGTGTATTTTATAGCAAAACCACACCGGGTTAGCTGCTGTGTCCACCGAGGGGTATCGAACCCGTGATATTAGTATTGTAAATCAGTAGACTTACCGCTGTTCCACCAGAGGACTGAAGAATAATGGTTGTAATGAAACCATTCAAAATTAGATTTTTGTCTAGTCAAAACTCGGGCAAATTATATTATAAGAAGAGAAATAAAAAAAAATTCATTGTTCCTTTGGTCATTCTGATACAACATTTTACAGTATTGTACAATGCGATCTTAAAAATTCTGAATCAACCTATGTTTTACACACACATACATATATATATGAGACAGTTATATAATAGCATATGTGATTCGCATACTGAAGAACATAACACTATTCCTTAATATAATATCGACATTTTCAAAATGGCAAAGAAAAATTATTTTTGGTTGTGGAAATCACCTTTAAGCCATATATGTTCGACCTGTTCTTTCCGATTCCTTGCACAGTACGTAGTATCGATCACTTTTTATCCTGCAATAAAGTATCAATATTTTACCTTAAACTGTATCGCGTTTAATGTTGATATGGATAAAGTAAAATACTTTGATTCAATACTATTTATTCGAAATTTCACAGAAACCAAGCTTTGTTTTATTTTTTGTACGTTAGATGTCACTCTTCACATAAAATATTAAAAAATATTTATTTACAAATGACTTTTGTGATAACTTTTTTACGAACATTATTCGAGTTGTATCAGTTAAACGTACAACAACATTCACAAAACAACTGTGTAGATAGCTAAGAAGTATTTCTGCTAAATGAGGTCTCCAGTGGATCAGCTGTAACTGTACGGACTTAAAACGTTAAAATCCGAAGTTTGATTCTCGAGTGGTGGTGGACAGAGCGCAGATAGTTTATTGTGTAGCTTGGTGCTAAAACAAAGAAATACTAAGTGAGAAAATGTTACTAGTGTTATACCCAATGCTTTATTTACTATATTGTACTAAAACAGTAGTGACAAACAGTAATAATTAAATATGCACATAGGTCATCAATATGAAAACAGTAGTAATAATTTATAACATACGGAGGTAACAAAAACTCCAAAACAGTAGTAGTAATTTATAACATACGGAGGTAACAAAAACTCCAAAACTGTAGTAGTAATTTATAACATACGGAGGTAACAAAAATACTAAAACTGTAGTAGTAATTTATAACATACAGAGGTAATAAAAACACCCAAACTTTAGTGCCGTAAAACCTACCGAGGCCATCAGTACACTAAAACAGTTGGTTAATCAAAAATTTAGTTAAATCCTTGTCATGGCTTCATAAGGGCGGTGCTTTCGAACTCCGGTTCAAATGGCACAAGCGGGAGAAAATGGTGATCCATTCCTCCATGAGAGGATGCTAATCCATCGCAGGTTAACCCCCTAGTTGACAGCAAGGCACCCATCATACAGCTGGGTAGCCTGAAACAAGTGGGATAAAAAGGATATAACAGCATGACATGGCTTAGCCTCGAACTGTAACCCTCCGACTGTGAGACTAAGAAGAATGAAGTCTCTTGGACACAATAAAACAATACTAAAACATGTTTGTTTATAAAACAAAACTGACTAAAGAGGTCCTCAATACGTTAAAATACACCAAAAGCTTATTTTGGTCATTAAAAATGACAAATTAGAAGTAACTAAAACCTGCAGAGGTCATCCTAATACCAAAACAAGAGTAATTAAGAATATTTTGCAAGTAACGTGTACATCAGAACAGATTCCTTCACACTGACATCGTATTGAGAAATGATCAGCGGGAGGTTTTGTTACATCAAAATAAGACTGAAATATACAATACTTCAGTATCTATTAAAACAGTAGAATATTATGAGACAACACATAAATATTGCAGTAACAAAGAGCAAGGGAGTAAAAAACATCTTAGTTTTGTTAAATAACGTGAGCTCTAATAAATATCATATTAAAGATTTATAAGAACAGGACACCACTGGTTACAAATGTATCAATAGGCAACTTCCGTCACCATAACACATATATAATCCATGCTAGTTATATTACATAAAGATAGTACTGACAGATAGTCTAATCCATAACACATATATAATCCATACTAGTTATATTACATAAAGATAGTACTGACAGATAGTCTAATCCATAACACATATATAATCCATACTAGTTATATTACATAAAGATAGTACTGACAGATAGTCTAATCCATAACACATATATAATCCATACTAGTTATATTACATAAAGATAGTAGTGACAGATAGCCTAATCCATAACACATAATCCATGCTAGTTATATTACATAAAGATAGTACTGACAGGTAGTCTAATCCATAACACATAATCCATGCTTGTTATATTACATAAAGATAGTAGTGACAGATAGCCTAATCCATAACACGTATATAATCCATACTAGTTATATTACATAAAGATAGTACTGACAGTAGTCTAATCCATAACACGTATATAATCCATACTAGTTATATTACATAAAGATAGTACTGACAGATAGTCTAATCCATAACACGTATATAATCCATACTAGTTATATTACATAAAGATAGTACAGACAGGTAGTCTAATCCATAACACGTATATAATCCATACTAGTTATATTACATAAAGATAGTACTGACAAATACTCTAATCCAGCTTCGTTACATCTCAACACACTGATAAATAATCTACATCAATTTCACTTTATCATCGCAAAATTTCGACGTAAATAAAACGATTATATTTACAGCGTTTCCAAATAAACAACACTGATCTTCACTGCATCAATAGAGTGCTTAGTTCCATTGATTTTACTACCTAGAGTAGGTAGTAAAGTTAACGTCGGTTATAAGTTGCAACATCAGAAGAGCGATAGCAAACAAACTACACTCGTTTTCGCAACATAAACATTTTACCCAAGGTAAATCAATCTACGCAGCTTTAAGTATGTCGAAATAGAAGTAATGCCCACTACGTTTAGGTAATAAGGAACTCACTGACTGTTACCTGCAGCTTACACAGAGGTATTTTCTTAATACATTGGATATAACTTGACGAATATTTTAACAAATTTTGTTGACTGCCTTAAGCTGGAGAATGACATAACTTCCATATTTATATCTTTGTGTGAACTAATTTATTTATGTTTGTCGGGGGGGGGGGGGTTGGGTTAACTTATCTAAGATTTAAAAGGGGCTTCTCAGTTTTGTAAAACTTTATAAAATCATCAGAAATCACGAAGAATATCGTGTACACGTAATTACATTATTGTTGATCATTTACGAAAAGTAGGCCTGTCACGTCATAGGGTGATTATTAGGCTTGAAAAGGTTATTTCATGAATTTATAATAATAAATGAAAAATGTGGTAAAAATTACAGTTTATCAAAGAAAAAGATGATTTTAAAGTAACTAAATTTTTGATTAATTTTCAAGGAAATTGTTGAAACATGAATAAAAATCATGCATCAATCAGATAATTATTAAATTAGGGTTATTCGTGTTCATTTTTGTAAATAATGAAAATAAAGGGGGAGTCATAATTTGATTAACAATGGCATTTAGAAAAGTAGAGCTGCAGGTTGAATTTTCTCAGAAGCGCTCTGCACTGTTACGTTACCACGACAACCAGAATGTTTACGGTATTGTGAAAGAGGGCGTTGAGAAAGGTAGTGCCAGTGCTGGGTTGGTAAAAAGTTGTCAATGAAATGCATTGCGTTCCTTCCCTGGATTGCGAAGGAAGAAGCCGCCTTCAAGATAAATCCTAATAAAGCAGTAGTTAATATTAACAAATTTCAGTAGTTATGGTAACTTAAGTACTATGGGGACGGCAGCTTCTTTCCTTTTCAAGGGTATGGGAAAAAGTTCAAGTAAGCTGAATAGAAATGACCTGCAGGAGTTGGAGTCAACAACACGCTGTAAGTATTCTCTCGGGCACTATATGGCTCAACTGGTGTTCGAAACGGATAACAAGAAGATATGTAGATATCAAAACGTGATATTCATTGTGAAACGTTGTTTTCCTCAACTTTCTGGTTGTTGAAAAGATGAAATTGTAAAGTACTTTGGTATAAAGCTAGACATCCTGAAAGTTAGTAACCTAATTGTTAATATCTTATAACTTGCACGGTTTAAATATATATTGGGTACGAGACAGATTTTAGATATAGTCGTGTTATAAGCGAAGTTTGTTAACCAAAGAGCACGTTGCTCATTAGGTCAAACAAGGATTTATAAAAACACAAACTGACTCGGGAAATATTAAGAAAATGTACTGCTTAACTACTTTTTTCTAGTGGCTAATATTCTACGCTTCTCTCCATATTTAACTAACATTATAATGAGATCAAGAAATCTTATCAAAGTAGGGTAATTAATGAAGTATAGTTAAGTTGGTAACAAACGTCCTTCAGCAGACGATTATAGTACATTCGAAGTTACATATTTTAGGGAATTTACATAAATACAATTGTCTCGTATATTACATTTGCTTAACTGGTTTAGGCTTATATCATCATAAGTAATTCATGATTACATATGTGTAAACGTCTTAGCTTCATTAACATTGATATTATCACCGCCATAGTAGTTGGCGCTTGCCATATATAATTGTTTTGATCTCGCTTCAACATGATTAGTTCATGCTTACGCCTAAATAAGTGATGATGCAGCAAAATCTATCCTCAGATATTTTCCAGGCTATTAAGTATTTAGATCAACATGGTTCATTTAGATTTGCATTAGCTTATTAGTCTCATGCTCACACTTTGATATGTTGGTTTCATGTTTACATATTGATATAATAGTTTCATGTTTACACTTTGATATAATAGTTTCATATTTACACTTTGACATAATAGTATCATGTTTACACTTTGATATAATAGTTTCATGATTACACTTTGATATAATAGTTTCATGTTTACACTTTGACATAATAGTTTCATGTTTACACTTTGATATAATAGTTTCATGTTTACACTTTGACATAATAGTTTCATGTTTACACTTTGACATAATAGTTTCATGTTTACACTTTGACATAATAGTTTCATGATTACACTTTGATATAATAGTTTCATGATTACACTTTGATATGTTGGTTTCGTGTTTACATATTGATATAATAGTTTCATGTTTACACTTTGATATAATAGTTTCATGTTTACACTTTGACATAATAGTTTCATGAATACCCTTTGACATAATAGTTTCATGTTTACACTTTGATATAATAGTTTCATGATTACACTTTGATATAATAGTTTCATGATTACACTTTGACATAATAGTTTCATGATTACACTTTGACATAATAGTTTCATGTTTACACTTTGATATATTC